TTGCTAGCTGTGCTGCTTCCCACAGCTCCCATTGGCCGGGAATGGTGATCCACGACTAATAGGAGCTGTGAGCAGCTGTACTTGTGGACATGCAGGTAAATAAAGCACTGGCAGCCCGCCAGGGACTAAGCCTGGTAAACCACAGTCCACTTATTGCCCACCCCTAGTATAACATAATGGCTGTGTCTAGACTGGCAAGTTTTCCCACAAAATCATTTTTGGCCCACTGCTGGGGCTCTTTTGTGCCACAATAGTAATAAATAATAATAAGATCACGAGGGCTAAATAAGCACCTTAGAAAGATTTCTAAGTGTCCTGTGTCATAAATAGTGGGATGGGTGAGCGAGCTTCTGCCCAAAATTTATCACATCTAAAAAGTAAACAAAGTGCTTTGTATTGTTTTTAAAAAACAAGGAAATCGCAGTTGTTCTTTCCTCAGCTTTTATGTTTGTTTCTGTGAACAGGTGAACAGTAGCTATGGATCTAGACAGCGTTTCTTCATTCTCTTCTCTGCAAGCTCTTGCTAAACTGCTTGCTGACCCTCAGGAAGAAGACAGTGATGACAATGACCTTGGGGTGAATAACTGACAAGAAATAAAGAACTCTGTAGTCACATGAGGCCAAATGCAGGTCTGGTAGAAAATGGTGCAACTGCTATGGAAGTCAAAAGTTCAGGGGCCTTATTCTCCTCTCTTATACTAGTTTTATATTGGTGTAACTCCACTGATCTCTCTGGAGTGATTTTTATCTCTCAGCAGTGTAAGTAAAAAGAGAGTCAAACCCCAGAAGTTTCTTCAGGTGCTAGACTGACTGAAACAGGAGGGAAATTATTGCAAGGTGGCATTTTGCAGAAAGAGAAAAGAAATAGTAGGAGAGCGCCTGCCTTGGGAACAGGAGAGAGATGAAATGCTCTAATCAAAAGGAAATGAAAACATTTATCTAAAATAGCCTCCAATGCAGACTTAGCCCTTTCTTTCCCCAGAGTCTGCCACAGATAAAGGCATTTAGTCCTAGAGACAAATGGCTTCCTAGTAAGAGATACAAAGGTACAATGCAGAATCAGAGCAAAGCTTGTGATAACTGGGAGGAGACAGGGAGCATGTCTATACTAGGAAATTATTTTGAAACAACTACATTCAACTTAACTCCCAAAATAGCTATTTCGAAATAATGTGTCCACACTACAGGGAAACCTCGAAATTAGTCCGAGGCAGGCTCCCTTAATGTGTCTGCACTATCTTGACTCAGAGCCCTAGGAAGCACTGGGGAGTAGTTGTTTCGAAATAGTGAAACCAAAGCATCCACACTACAGCTATTTCAAAATAACTATTTTGAAATTTGCATTATTCCCTGAGGAAAGCAGGAGTACAGATTTCGAAATAAGCAGCCCGTTATTTTGACATAACAGGCTTGGTAGTGTGGACACTGCTTATAAATTTGACCTAAAGGGGGTTATTTTGAAATAATGCCATAGTGTAGACCAGGACTAAGTGAGGTAATCCTGTGTGTGTCGGAAACAAATCAATCATTCAAGAACAATGGATATTGTTGAAGGGGATAGAATATGGAGAAGTGAGTAATCATTGCAAGATGAATGGAAAAACGATTAAGGAGGGAAATATCTTTCCATTCCTTTGTGTCAAATCATCTTTGGCTGTTACATGATGATCATGGCACATGGATCACATTATGCTATTGTCATTGTGTTTTCTGAGTGTGTGTATGGGGTGGGGGTTATGTGTCTGGGCTAGTTTTGGCTACGGTAGGCTAAGATGCCTGAAAATCATAACTTACAATGCCTCAAGGAGTCACCACAACTCTTTGATAAAACTAATGATATCCTGTACATGTTCTGTTGTGACATGGATAAAAATGACTGATATCTTAGTTCTCCTTCATGACATCATGTTCACAGAGACCCCACTATAAGAGTCCACTGGCTGGCCCTAAAACCTTTCTGTGTAGTGGTCTGCATTTGAGGTTGAATGCAGATCTCTCAAAATCTACCGTCAGTTTTCCTCACCACCACCATCCCTCAGTTCTTCTAGCTCTGCCTTTGACAGCTATTCTTAATCCTTATCATCTTGTCAGAAAAGAAATCTAAGTGATTTTTATGTCTTAGATTTCTTTATAAAATGAATAACACGTCTGCCAGCAATGGCAGATTGCCCACAGTGATGCCCATGAAGTCTGTGTCAATCTTCTTGTATGAAGTGTATTTGTAGCCATGTTAGTTTCAGGATATTAGAGAGACAAGGTGGGGGAGTCAATACCTTTTATTGGACCAACTTCAATAAAAGATATTACCTCACTCCCTTGTCAATCTTCTTGGTAATCTGAAATCTTTGTTTTGATTTACTTTAATGTTCTCTGCATGTGAAGCCCTTTTATCAAACCAAAAAATCTTGATATACATACAAATGTTGCACACTGACTGCCTATTAGAATTACAGTGATTCATCATTTTAAATAAATGCTATTGCCTTGCAAGACTGCCAGTGTTAAAACAATTCTAAAGGCTGTGCTGGGACTGCATATAGTACACAGAAATCCGTATGCAGTTTTGTCATGGCAGGCAAAGTAGGGAGTGCCCATAAAAATGATCCCTCGGATGCTAGCTACAGCTAGAAGGCTGTAGTTATGGCATTCTTGTTTAAATGCAGCACATCAAGGCCACTGATTGGTGGATGAGAATGAGGAGGGAAGTGTTAACTAATAGTTAGAGCACAAGACTGTGATACAAAACTTCAGTATTGCCATTGACTGATATGACCTTGGACAAATAATTTAACTTTTCTGTGCCTCATTTTCTCCATCGCTAAAATGGAGAGGATAATAATGCTCACAAAGAAGTTGTAAAAATGTAACTAATGTTTGTAAAGCATTCTGATATAGGTAGAGACTGTAGCTATTCTCTGATGAACCATGCTCTGTAAATGCAAATTATTATTGCTGTTAATTGTTTTTTATTATAACAGAGGCGGGCTATGGGAACATTCATATTGGTTTTATTTGGCTTTTTTTAGTCACATCCTTCTTCTGTTGGTGCTGTGGGTCCTGGGAATATCGGACCAGCAAAAAAAGCAGAGCCCACAAGTAAGTTGTGTTGTAGCAAAATGGGGTGCGCTAAGACAGTGATCCACCATTATGGTAACGCAATAAAATAGCTGTAATAGCAGCTGCCTCGGACACAGCTCCCTTCCGCTATAACTGAAAGTGGTCTCTTTCCTCTGTGCTGAGAGGGGAACAATAATATTTTACATGTGCATTGCATAGCATGTTTTATCCCAAAGGGTTGAAACACTTTACAAGCTGTGTATACAGTGCCACTGAAATGTCACCACATATGAGATGGAGCATGACAGCCACAGAAAACAGCACACTACCCTATTATGGGGCAGGGGAAATTTCATCCAAATACACCAATCAGGGAAAACTCTATTCTTACAAAAAGTGTTGTAGAATCTTTCATGCTCACACAAAACAGACAAGAGCTTGATTTTTAGATCTCATCTCATACAATAAACAGCATGTAACTCAGTGTATCTGCCCAATAAGGAGGAGAAGCTACTAACCAAACATAACCTCCTCCCTCACTCAAGTCACACAAATCCATTTAGGAAAAAGCTTGAAAGAATAACTGAGATTTACTCTCTGCTTTGCAGATCCACATTCCAGGTATTCCTTGTTGAATATGCTGCCTCCAGTCCTCAGTTGGGAAAACTGGAAATTGCAGTAAAAGTGCTGGCAACTCCATTAGCCACATGTAAAGAAAGGGGCAGGCTCTCAGTCAGCTTGTAGGGTCTTGTGCTGTCAACACCTTCAGTTGCATCCAGAAAAAAAAAAGAAGAAAGCAAGCCAGTGCAGTGTTTGCAGAATGGTTGTAATGTCCTTCCGCCAGCTAACATTATCAAACAATTAGGCAGCTGCATTACCCACCAGCTGTAGTATTTGCATAATCCTCCTGTCATCTGAAGAAGTGGGTTGTACCCACAAAAGCTCATGATACCATCTACATGTTTTGTTAGTCTTTAAGGTGCTACTAGACTATTTGTTATGTTTTAAGTTTTTTGGATAGCAGTGAGTCATCCCAGATGTGAGAGTGGCATAGAGAACTGTAGTGAAAGCTGTTTCCAGAAGAAACAGTCACAAACATAGCAAAGATGCTTTTGAACACTGTTTCTCTTTAGGAATCCAGAAGCAATTGAGGACCCCAAATTGTACATCCTTAAGAGAATATGTCCCTTCAGTAATGGGAATAGACATCATCCCTGCCTTATTCACTGTCTGCTTTTCCCCAGTGTACATCATCACCTTTGTTCTGCATATTCCCAGTGATGTCTGGAAAGGGCTATGATATATTGTGCTCTTTAGTAAAAAAGAGGAGAAAGGGAATCTCTTTATCAATCATCTCTGCTCATTTAAAATGCTATTTAGGGAAGTCTCTATTTTCCTTTATCCTTCTAGATTTCACCCATACCAGTTTGAGAAATGTCTGTTGTTTTGTAAGCCGGAGCACAATGTACCCAGACTTGTTCCTCACATAGGGTAGGCAAAGGACAGTAAAGTTTATGAAAATAAAAACTCTGATGCTTTTCTAAATTCTACTTTTGTGGCCAGGCAAATCCTAGAGAGACTAGAGTCCTAGAAATACCTTGTATCAAACAACACACCATGGTTAATCACAGCAACCCGGGAAAGACAGGCATCCCAGAAGCTTACTGTATCAAATTCTCTTTTTATCCCCTCTCCCAGTCACCCCTCAGGTGAAGGCTGAAAATAGTAAAGATATTTGGAATGCAGAAGAAGTGCCAGAGGGATCAGAGTTTGATGATATCTGGGATCCAAGGGAACAGCCAGAGTAAGTGTAACAGAGCTAAGACTGTGTGCATGGGTTTTGTGTAGCTGAAATCCAGATCCATATTCCATCCAGAAGGGATGTACACTAGGGGTACATCTTAGGGATGTTAAGTATCAGTTAACTAACTAATTGAGTAGTCGATGGAATTTTGCTTAATTCCTAATCGCTTAATTAGGCGATGTTGGACAGAGCCGAGGTGGGGTTAGCTCCCAGAGGTGCCGCAAGCTGAGACAGTCCTGGCTCGCACCACTCCCAGGACCACTGTGGCTCTGCCTCCCCTGCCTCCTTCTGCCCCATGGAGATGGCGCTGGGGAGAACTGGCTTTTAATTAAGCTGCTTCCTGTTTCATCCCTTCCTCCCCTGCTGCCTCTGATATAGAGGCAGTGGGGGGAAGGGGAGCAACTAGTCAAGTACTCACTTGACTACTCAATAAGCCTATGCTTATTGGGTAGTCGACTACTCGACTAGTCGCTTGCATCCCTAGTACCTCTTCACTACAATCTAAACCCTGGTTAGTGGGACTTGAGTCAGCTGATCTATGTTACAGAACCTTGGGCTTTGAGCATCTACATTGTATTTTAACCCAGCGATTCTCAACCAAGGGTCAAGGGCCCCCCTGGGGGGTTGTGAGCAGATTTCAGGGGGTCCACTAAGCACGGCTGGTGTTAGACTTGCTGGGCCCATGGCAGAAAGCCAAAGTCCTACCATATGGGGCCCTGAGCCCACCACTTGGAGATGAATGCAATGTAGCTTTGCAGGGGCCCCTGTGGTGTGGGGGCCAGGGCAGCTGCCCTGCTTGCTACCCTCTAATGCCAGCTTTGGCTTTTATATGCAGAAATCCAGCAGTTGTGACACAAGTGGTCTGTGAAATTTTATGGCAGGTTGTGGGGAGGCTCAGAAAGAAAAGATTGAGAACCCTGTTCAAACCCTATGTTCAGACTCTTCTAAGTGGTGCTCGAACCTTGGACTTTGGCATCCACATTGCAGACCACAGACCCAAGTCAAAGTAACCATATCCCAGAGTTCCCAACTTCCCCAGCCCTAGAACTGCAGTGCACTGTGGGAAGACTTTACTGCCCACCCTGCACATTACCAGGAAGCAGTTTGCTGTGCACAAGGCTTGATAATCTCTCTATTGCAAACCCAGGAGGCTCTCTGGGAGTGGGCGTGGAGACTGGTGATCAGACCAGAATGGGTTAACACCAACCTCAGCTGCTGCTGTTTGCAAAGTGGCCGTGGCTTCCGTTTTCAAAAGAGTGGTTTTTAGATTGTTGGGATAGGCCTAAGGAAGTTGTGCCATGATGGAATTGTGGGATACTGACTGCCAGGACTTGCCTGTATCTCCACTGCAAAGCAATAGGGCTCGGACCTGGCATCCTAGCTTAACTTGGACCCAAGCTTGGACCCTTCTTCCTTGAGGGTCCTGGGCCCCTGGGTCTGAGCCCTAAGTTAGCACAACTGCAGTGTGGACACAAGGGAGCTAGGCTCGGGCCCAGGCTTATTTTGCTGTGTAGTCACACACTGCTGGGCTTTGCCTCCAAAGCAGCAACAATTAATAAGTGATTTTAATCTTTTCGGTGGAGGAGACCTTCTAATCGTATTACAAAAATGTGGAGATTGTTTTTCCTGTTATAAGATTATGCCCAATGTCAGATGCTTGTGCAAAGTAGGATTAGGATGGAAAAAAGGCGCATACCAGAATTTATTAGCCTTCACATCTGCCAAGTTTGTAAACAACGTTACTGAGCGTATCTTGAGACAGTGAGAGTTTCATTCTTTTGAAATGCTATACTATGTGGAGAAGGGGTGGGGGAGTTGGATTTATATTTATATTGCAGAGAATTAAGGTCCCCAGAGGCAAATACCTACTGTCTGAGGAGTATTTTACAGGCAGTGTTACTCTTTGAATGGATGGCATTCAGTCAGAGACAAATTGCAGAGGCCAACCTAAAAATAGAAATAGATTTCTTTCTTCTCCACCGCAAATAAAGCATTCTTAAGTGGATGCTGTTACATAGTTTAGACTGTGATGTGCTCTGAAGCGATCTGGAAAATTCTCTAGCTCCAACGGGTCAGATCATCCAAAAAGCAACCTTTACATTTATTATCACAAAATATTGCACCCTGAGGGTTGGTGGAAAGTGGAATAATTTCATTGAAGTGAACAGAGCTACACAGTGTACCTCTGTGTAAATCTGGCCAGAATTTCCAATTTTCTCTGTTCATATTTACAATTAGCCACTCAGTTCCTTGATCTAGAAACTGGGATGAGTTTTCACCTTTAAAATTACTGTTTAAATGAACATTTGACAGTGTTCTATTTAGCCTCCCCTTATGCACCGACATACATTTGTACACACATTTTTATTTAAAAGCTCCACCTTTACTGTCCTGGGTAAGGTAAATTTGTCCAATGCTGATAAAAGAACCAAGCACTCTGGATCCATTCAGTCTCTACAGAAGGAGGTGCAGCTTTTCTCTAGCCCTGAGTAATTATGTACTGTGTAGCACAAATAAAATGAGAGTATAAATCTTTGTAGTAGTTCTTCACGTTAATGCATGGAAAAAGCCTTGAAAAGTAACTCTAGAGCTGTAATTATAGACAGATTTTACATTGACTGAGAGATTAGAATTGTATTATATCATGATCACTGGAAATGTAAAAAAGAGCTTCCTTCCATGTAGCCGTAGAACAATCTAGAGAAACTGCTTGATTTATTTTGCTCAATTTACTAAGAACATTACATGCTCTAAATACAGTCTTCAGTTGTGTTTCCCCATTCATTAAAGACCAACAGAAAGAGAACACAGAATTCCAGATTTTGCTGCATTCTCATTAAACAAACTGATTTGGAAAAAAACAAATCAATATATGTAAAATGGAATATAATTAAAATAAGCAGAGAAAGTGATGTTATTTTGGGGCTCCAGGAGCCAAATGATGGACAGGAAATTGTTTGCAAGATAATCATTTGACAACATCCTTTTCATATTTCCCCCTCAGCAGGCTATTTTGGAGGTGTAGGAGGTAAATATCACATTTGCATGGTACAATTTCCAGCCCTAGTGTCTTATTCCCTGGTCCTGCAAAGGTTAATTGTGCTGTGGAGGGTAGACATACCCTAAGAGAGGCAGCAGAAATGAAAGGGACCTGCATTCCCAGGAGAAACAATTTTATCATTTTCTTCTGCCCTCCCTTAATTGGGAGATTCATACAGGCTTTGATGGCCAATTTTGTTTCTGCTAGGTATGAGATTTTATTCAAGCAGCAGGTGGGAGCAGAGGACATGTTCCTGGGGATGAACAGAAAGGACCCGTCCACAGCCTGCTGTGAGGACATGCTGGTGAGCATGGCCCTGGGCCACTTTCAATCCCTTCTGCTTACCCTTTCCTCACTTCCTCCTTCTTTCCCTCTCACTGTTTCCTCCAACGTAGTACATACACAGCAGCTCTATTACTATCTCGATAGTTTTCCGTGAATCGCCCATTGCTACTGACCTGTACTGGGTTGAGGGTAGTCACGCAACCCCCTTGAGAGCCAGAAAACACACAACCTGCCCAGTTCTATGAGCCAGCTTCAGACTGGGTATAAGTGGATGCAGGTCCAAAAAGCTTTTGTACTCACTTACCTAGGACCCTGTGTGACTATTTTTTTTCACACCTGCATAAACTCATTGAAGTGATAGAACAGGTAATTAATTGCCTGTGTCACCGCCAGGTTGTGGGTGGCAAGATCTAGTACTGAGTCCACAGTCATGAGACAGGAGTCTGGTTATCAGGAGGTCAGAGGCTATGGACAAACTGGAAATCAGGAATCTTATGTCAGATGTCAAGGTTATGTTGCTAGAGGAGCAGGAGAAGTTTGGAGCCCAGTTGTTCAGACAGCTCTGCATTCCTGTCAGCCGTTTTGGGACTCTCCCCATTGGTGCTCAGGGACAGTACCTTGTGCTAGGGCTAGATGTTATGTGGCCAAGGTAAGCTACTGGTAGCAGGCTGCCAGAGAGATAGTTGGAGTGTGGCTGCACCCATGAATTTGAGACCTGTGTGAAAGCCCTTCAAGTCACAAGTATCTGATCCTCTCCCCCTTATTCAATGATCAGTGACCTCCTTTGTCTGCAGCATTCAGAAGGGACATCATTTCTGCATGTGTGTTTTTTTCTAGTGGTGCAAAGTGCTCCAGGCCCCCACCAAAGCAGGGGCTTTAAGTGACTGCAAACTGTGTCCTGTAGGCTTTCAACTCAGGCTTTGTGCAGAGGGTAGGGATACATGCAGAGACATCATGATACCATTACAATAAATGATTGCTACTTCATCTTTCTTCTGGGTACAAATCACCCATGCAAAATGCTGGCTCTGATTCTTTAGCATCAACAGGGTTCATAAGCAGGTTGGCTATTTCCTGGAGAACACAGTACTGCAAAGCTCGTCCCAGCCTCCAATGCATCCCTTTGCCATGGTCTCTCCTTCCTTTCTGTCTTACCTGTACATGTCCTTTCAGATTAAAATCAAACTGCCAGATACAAAGTCTTCCGACATTGCACTTGACATCCAGGACAAGATCCTTGACCTTCGAACCCCCAAAAAGTAAGTGAAGCAGTATTGTAAGTTTTCTGTCTAATGGAGTTTAACAAAGGCTTCAAGGGAATGATCAGCACCATGCAAAAGGGCTGATGCAGATGTGATTATTTAGTTACAAAGGAAAAATACAGATTGATGTAAACTCAGCCATTATTAATGGGTTAGGTTATTAGTGGGCTGGATTTGGGGGCCTAACACTAACATCTGTGGGGGGCTCTATAGACATATCTTCACTACAGGCTAGCGAGCGTCGATTTATCACATCTGAAATGCAAACTAGTCTTTGGAAGTGATGCCAGTCAATAAGCAGGTGAAATGCAGTCAGCCCAGCAACCACTGGCTAGGCAAAAACACACTTCCCCATGCTGTTTCTCTTCTGATCCAGTTTCGTTGGAGAGTCAGGGATTTGCCATACCTTGTTTGCCTCCAGATATTGCAGTCCTGAATCCAGAAAAAAAAAAAAGAATCTCAAAAAATCTAAAGGCTTTGTGGCACATCATCTGACCTAGTGTCGATATCCCAAGTGTAGATGCAATTCTGTGCACTATGAAAGAAAATAAAAGACTTCCAGTCCAGAGAGGAAAGGGTACAGAGAAGAGCGACAAGAATGATTAAAGGTTTAGAGAACATGGCCTATGAATCCAGGCTTCATGAACTGGGCTTGTTTAGTTTGGAAAAAAGAAGATTAAGGGGGGACATGATAGCGGTTTTCAAATATCTAAAAGGGTGTCACAAGGAGGAAGGAGAAAATTTGTTCCTCTTGGTTTCTGAGGACAGGACAAGGAGTAATGGGCTTAAAGTGCAGCAGGGGAGGTTTAGATTGGACATTAGGAAAAAATTCCTAACTGTCAGGGTGGTCAAATATTGGAATAAATTGCCAAGGGAGGTGGTGGAATCTTCCTCTCTGGAGATTTTTAAGAACAGGTTAGATAGACATCTGTCAGGGATGGTGTAGACGGAGCTTGATCCTGCCTTGAGGGCGGGGGGCTGGACTCGATGACCTCTCGAGGTCCCTTCCAGTCCTATTATTCTATGATTCTATGATAATGTTTTCAAATGTGCCCAGTAAATGCTGCACGTGGCTAATGAGGGAGAGCACAAAAGGTCTGTCCTGGGGCTGGTTCTATGTCAGGCCACTATAAAGCTGCTTTAATTTGCTCTGAACTATTCCAGCTTCCAGTGGTATAATTCAGAGCAGTTTGAGATCAGTGTCTGAATTCTGCCAGCTTCCACATTCAGACTCTTTGTTGTATGGGGTCCCCAGGTATGCTTAATCTTGCCCTGTTTTACACACCACTCATCATTCCATGTCTCAGCAAGGAGATGCCTGTGGGAATGTGTTTTGGGATAGATACAATGGATCTGATTCCAGCAGCCAGGGCACAGGGAGCTCTGATTACATCCCTCTCCCAGTGACACCTAGAGCAGAGGGCTGGGAGAGGTAGGATACTGAACCAACATGACCTTAGAGCCTAGTTTAGAGCAGCCATGAGACTGTGTTGTCCATGCTTAGCGTAATCTTTGGCTGTCCCCTAAGGTCTCTTTATGTCAAGGGGGTGGCCAAAGCCTTGAAGCAGTATGCTCCAATTATTTTTCCTCTGCTGAGAAGGAAAGTTGGTTACTGCTCCCTGTGCGACATTTTCTTCAAACACGTGTTCAGACTCTATGCATTATTCAGATTTTTACCACTGTGACAGCATTGTGGATGTGTCTCATTCTCACTCTGCATCAAAAATGCACCACTATGCAGCAGTAAGAACTGTGAAAGGCCCGATAATCCATCACTGGAAATCTTTGTCAGCACACAAAGCCAAGACCATGTTGAGAGAGAACCAGATTTGGAATAATTTGAGGGCCCAGTAGAGCCAAGCCCAGGTAGTTCAGTGAGTTCCACCACCTCACACTAAATTAATGTGGCCCATCACGTTCCAGTTTCTGAATTGCAAACACTTCCCAGCACTAGTAATTTGCATTCCCTTTTGTAGTGCTTACTTAGGGCTGGGGCTAAAAAAATCCCCTACGTCCTGTTTTCTAGGAAGCTGCTACTGCATCTCCCCCACCCTGTGGACAGCAAGAATGGCAAAGCTTGTTTCATCTCCGAAAAGGAGACCCTGGAAGTCACCTTGAGGATGAAGAGAGAGTTTGACTTCATCAACTTTGCCTAAGGGAAAATGGGGACCTGTTTCAAACAAACAGTGATCTAAATGGCTACCTGATAGCCAAACAATGGCCTATTCCCGTTGGAAATGGTTCAGGATGGATAGATCCTACCACTGCAGCTGCTGGGTGTGTAGTTGGCAGTGTGATGAACCACTCTATGTGTCTATGGGCGGTGACTAGGAGTCAGAGGTATTTCTGAGCATGTGTAGTATAGCATTTCTATCTCTGAGCAATTCTGTACCCAAGCTTGGGTCCCAGTCTTACCATATACATTCTCAGAACACCAGTTGTAATGGCCAATGGAACAGGACTGAGAGAGACACCTTTTCTGCCTTCGAGATAAAATCCTGCAGAGATTATGGATGGAGATGATTCCATCTTTAGCCTCCCATGGGACTCTAGTGTTTGCTGTGTGGGGTTCCCAGGTTATGCTTAATCTTGCCCTGTTTTACCCAGTGCTCTTCGTTCCATAGCTCTTCATTTCATAGCGCTCTTCATTCCAAGAAAATGCCTGTGGGAATGTGCTTTGGGCTAGAAGCAATGGATCTGACTCAAAACCCATTGAAGTCAGTAGAAACCTGCCTATTGACTTCAGTGATTTTTGGACTAGGCCCTAGATAGCGGGACATCACTTGGTCCAAAGGGTGGGACTGAGACCAGACCTGTATATTGGTTTAAATGATTCATCACTTTTTTCTACATGTTTGTCTACACGCCCTAATTAAAATGTTACTTCTATTAGAACTAACATGCTTGCCTTGACGTCCTGTAAAAAGTACTCACGGGAGAGATTCTGTAACAAAGCACCTTTTTCCAGAGGGCCTGAGGCACTGCAGAAGTTCCTCTGTCGCCCTGGAGTACATTCCAGCGGCACTCCAGTGTGCAACCAAGACGCACTCCTCCCCCACGAGCAGCCAGACCAATAAATCCTTGTAACACTCAGCAGCCACGTGCTGGAGTTAATCATGCAGGAAGCAAACAGGTATCCGCTCACTGATGAGAGGGGAGAGGGCGCACTGGACTCGGGCTTTGATGGATTGGCTCTGTTTAACAACCAGGATCTTGTAATCGGTTTAAAAATATAATCTCTTACGGCTGCATCCTGCTGGCATGAACATGGAGGAAGGTGATTGACTAGCTCGACTGCCACCAGTGCCCATGCAGCTAATTTCTTGACAGGTTGTGTAGGGGAGATGGATCCCTCGTGATGGAGATGACACTCTGCCAGTGATTTTCCATGAGAAGCATTCTCTGTTGGATCGATAACAATTTGCAGCCTTCAGTGTGTGTCTCTATTAGGCCGCATCACATCCTAGGTGAAACTGAGGTACGTCAAGACATTTCAACCACTTCCTTTAAATTGGTCCCTTTGCTGAAGTCCAGGTAATACCGGCCAACCTCTGCTACCGTGTTAATATTCTGTCTGGGGCCAAGAGCTGCTCAAACTGTATCTTAGAGCATCTTAACTTGTGGCAAGACATAAGGACCTCCTGAATTTCTATTTGCCAATAAATCACACGATGCACTGGCTCCAATGCTGGGGATCAATGCGTAAGGAGATTGTGCTGGGATCTAGGAAAGATGAGATCATTTTTGCTGGCTGAGCATATACAGACAGCAGCTGCCCAAAGTTACTACCCAGACCCTTGTTGGGGGGGGAGGGCTGTTAGACAAAGTGATGCTACCTCTGATATAAAACAGGAATTGGATTTACAGTAATGGAATGCTGCTTCAGATATAGACCCATCTGTCTGCCTCACTCGCCATGGTCTTAGTTACAGAAAGCTACACTATTGAAAGTTGTACCCTGTTCTAGGACTTTTCCATACATTATATCATATTGACAGGCCTGGGGACTGAAGCTCTTTATCGACTCAGTGCTGATGTGGAAGAGCCAGCCCATAAAATCCATAACCACTCTGCTAGGACTGTCAGCACACAGGGGAGGTGTGATTGTGCTTTTTCTGACTTCAGCACTCGTTCAGGAGGAGCTGGGTTGAGAACCACCAATTTATTTCAGAGAAGCACTGAAGACCCTTCAGACAATAAAGAATATTTGGCCACTGCCAGCATAGGGCAGATCTGAACTAGTGGTCCAGTGGTGTCCCTAGGCATCGAGGTCTATTTAAATTACTGATTTGCAGGTGCATTTGTTGTTATAAATAACATCTTGGACGCTCAAGACTGTTTTCATGTCCAGGGAGTGAATCTGGACCATTGAATTTTTATTTGCTTTATGGGTAACAGAGCAGATACCTCTTTGTCAGGAGGCCTCTGTGAGCCGTTCATCCCAATGCAGTGCTTTCCTCTAATTATGAGCAGAAACCACTTGAGGTGGCTGTCACATTCTCACGTTCCCTCCCTTCCGGAGGGCAGAGGCCTGCCACTAAGAGATGACATTTTTCCACAACTTGAGTGGAAATACAGTTGTACTGGGGGCAGATGGAGGTGCTGGAAGGCTTTGGGTGCTACCTACCAGAAGGGGGTTTACTTTAAGCAAGGGTGTTAACAAAGTTTAGCTTTGCTGACCCAGGACAAGCAGAGATCTTTCAGGACACAAAGCAGCATTGCCTCCAAATATCACAGCCACCTATCACTTCAGGCATCGTAATTAACCAGACCAGTCAAACAGTAGTCCTAGCCATTATGTTTCATCAAGCTTAGTATCCTGGGCTGTGCCAGAGCTCAGGACTGTGTGTGTCTAGGAACAGAGCCCTGCAAATCCACGGAGATAAAGCGGATATCTGTGAGTATCTGCCTCTGTGGATGTCAATGCAGATATCCACAGCTCATTTGAGCGGACACAGATGTGGATACTAATTTTGTATCCACACAGGGTTCTATCTCTGAAAGGGTGGTTCTCACCAAAGGGATGGAGCCAATCAGAAAATACACTGATGGTGCAGAAGGGAGAATTGGTGGTTCTGGCAAGCTGACATGAACGCCTCTTGGAAATGAATCATACTTGGCACGTCCCTTACATCTGTAGATCTCAATGCACTGTAGAGAGAGCCTCCCTAGCACGTATAAATGATCCTATTAGTGTTGGCAATTGGGCAGTAGACTCTCCTGGAATGATCTTGTTCCACGTCTGTGACCAGGCCTCTGAAGCTAGCTCCAATTAATGTGTCATGGGTTTTACCTAAGAACTCCATTTAGGTGATGGCAGGGGGCTGAAGCCCCGCAGCCCCTATGATTCCTAATGGGACACTGCTTGTTGTTGTGTCCCTTTGTGTCCCTCTTGGGGAGTGAGAGGAAAGCGCCCAGTGTGCTTGAACAGCTCTGCCTCTTGGCTGGGGAGGGGAGGGGGCAGGAGCTGGTTGTTTTCCTCTCGCTCCTTGAGAGTGACAAAGGGAAACAGCAAGCAGCATCCTGGTCTGAATCTCAGGGGGGCTTCAGCCCCCTACCCTCCTGAAATAGCACCCTTGCCCTTCTGCACCCCCTATACACACCCCAACCCCCTGTCCTGAGTCCTTCCTTGAACCCTCTAAGTCTGACTCCTGCCCCGCCGCACACCCAGCCTCCTGCCCTGAGTCTCCCCATCACCCACAGAAACCACAACCCCTTGCCCTGAGCCCCTCTCACTCCACTCCACACTTACATTTCTTACGGGTACTGTTGTATCACACTGCTCGGGGAGAGGGCTCGGACAGGGGCTTGCAATACGACAGTACCGGTTAGAAATTTAAGTTACTTCCCCCTCTGCTTAAAAGATATCAGGACACAGGCCTCTGTTGCCGTGGTATCTGAGCACATCACAATTGCCAATGCATTTCTTCTCACAACACCCCAGGGAGGTTTTACAGCTGGAGAACGGAGGCACAGAGAGACTAAACACCTGGCTCAAGGTTTCACACGAAGTCTGTAGCAACGCTGGAACTTGGACTTGGGTTTCCCAGGTCTGAGACTGGTGCCTCAACCACTGGCCAATCTTGCCTCTCATCCACTCGCCACCTCCTCTTCCCAGTTCTTACGGTTGTTTTTAAGAGGAGTGCCGAGATTTGTATTTGTATAGACATTTAAAAACTTGAACCCAAGATTACTACAGGCTTCCCGCTGTGGGTGTGAAATGCTGCTTTCCTGCAGAGAGAGGGGTTAGTTACCGGAAGGTAGGGTGACCACATTCCACTGTGCTGAAAACGAGATACCTGGTAAAATGACTCGTATTCAAGCGAGTTTGATGGCAGTCAGTCAGAATTATGCCATATAAGCCTTCAGATTAGCATCAAGTTGACTGAGCCCCTGCTGAAAATAAATACTGAGTAACTGGAGTCTTTTATTTACCATCTTATCTTTAAGGTTTGCATGGAGAGAGGTCACACACACATTCCCCTACACGGCTCACGCAGGATGATCCAACCCTCCCTACTTAACATTCTCCACACTCCATGCCTGGCTGGGCCCCAGGGAAGAACCCACCTCTCCTGGCACCTGGTGTTGCATCTTCTTGAGGCAACATATGGGGACACACAGGGTCACAGCCCCTCTCTGAATTTCTGTGAGGGTTCACACCAGAAGATGGCCAGCAGCAGCCTTTCAGCCTGGGGCAAGAGCTGCTTCCAGCCACAGGGGATGGGGTGGAGGGAAGGGAGGACTTGGCTCATGTCTTTGCAGAGCTCAACTTTGGTTTCTTTAATCCTCCAGAACAACTGTCTCTCTTTCTCTTTGTCTCCTTGTCCAAATGGACACTAAATACCCAGTCCCGTCTCTCCTGTGGGGCCTTCTTCCCTCTTCTTCTCCCTCCCCCTTTTTGCCTGTTTCTTCCATTCTTCCTTCCCCTCTGAGCTTTTCATTTCTTACATCTCGTCCTCTCTTCTCTTGTCCTCACTTACTTTCCTTCCGATTGCTCTGCCACTCCAGTGTCTCTCCTCGGGGTCTAATCAGAGCTTATGGCTACAGTACCTGACCTTGACTGGATGTGCTGACTGACCCCTGGTAGGCCTAGGCATGCCCGGAAACCCATCCTACACGCTACTGCAACACTGTCTGTATACAACACGCCGTGTGAGGGACATTAGGAAAGCTAACAACATGCTCGGTATTAGTATTGTAAAAGGCACATGTGCACTTGCTATATGAAGATATAAACTCTCTCTTTCTACTGTTACTAGAACATATTTAAGACCAAGACAGAGAAGCCTAGTTAAGGGGATGAACAAGCTCTGTCTTAGACAAAGGAATGTGGGTTTTCCTCAGGGTGCGTGTTAGTCACAAACCAACCTATCATGCTGAACCAGTGTGGGGAGGGAGGTTTTATCTTGAGCCAGAACTTTAGCAACTGAGAAATAACATGGCTCCTAAGAGCCTTCCTGACGTGAAAAAGAAAGACGACCCGTTGGGAATAGAAGAAACAGAGAGACGCCACATTGATCCTTCACCCTACAGAACCACAACTTGAATAGCAGGTTGCTCTCAGCTCAGGAGAACGGTGCATCTGAAGGGCTTTGTCTGCTGCTGGGCATTACCGAGTTGTGTTGCCAAAACAAGGGGAAAGCTCCAGGATGAGGGAGGCCGGGGAGCTCTAAATTGGGCAGAGCTGTGTGGGGGAGAGGCTGCAGGTGAAGTCTGAGGTGCAGTAGGAAAGGGGCATGTCCAACCACTAAGAGAAACAAAGGCAAAGGTGTACGTGCTGGATGGGGATGGGGAGGGAGCCTGACCCGTTCGGTACAACTGCTAATTGGGAGGCGAGAATACAGACGTCTCTCTGCAGTCCCGGGGCTGGAGGCAAGGGTCAGAGCAGACGGATGAGGAAGCCGAGCCAAGAGGGCAGAGGGGAATCTGATGGCCACTTGGTCTCTGAGAAGAAGCTAATGCAAAGGCTGCACAGATACATCCTCCCCTCCCTAGGAGCCCATCCGCGGTTACCCTCGGCAACTACCCCCGCCAACACTGGAAGAGGAGAGAAGCCCAGGGAATGGTGCTTGTGTGTTCTGAGCCAGAGGGGGGCTCGGAGAGAGGGACCCATATTCATGCACATACACACCCCAACAAAAGCCCTGGTTAGAGTTTCTGTGATATCCTCACGCCTTGTATTTTTTTCTGTCCTGGTTGAACTCGTGTGTGAATTGCACAAGGATCATGGGAGGGTCTCCACCAAGCCAGGGCCAGTGGA